AGAAATCAGATTTCTTTTGAGGCCAGGAATATGTCTCACTCCTGTCAGCTTCCAGGTGGTCTGGTTTGGCAGCTTTAGTCGGGTATCTCCTTTTCCGACGATCTTCAAGGTTTCGTCATCAGCAAGATGAACCTTCCCAAAATCACCACTGACATAGTTCTCCATGATTTCTTGGCATGGGGTGGAGTGGAAAGATGCCCCTGAATCCAAGATCCATGATTCAATCGGACTGTTGACGCTTAGAATCATGGCATCACCTGTCTCCTCTGTCACGTTGGTAGATTCCTGTGCACCGGTATCTTTCTTCAATGCTCGGCAATCTCTTTTAAAGTGACCTTTCTTGCCACGATTTGAATATCTTTCTGAAGTTCTTCCTCTAGACTCCGTGTGCAAGGCTGAGGAGGTTGATGCTTCACCCGATTCTCTCCGTCGAATTTCTTCACTCAATACCAGATCCCGAACATCGTCGAATTTCAATTTGTTGTTTCCCGACGAGCTGCTGACTACTGTAACAGTAGCATTCCAACTGTCTGGTAGAGATGATAAGAGAATTAAAGCTCGAACTTCATCATTGAACTCAATTTCCACTGAACTCAACTGGGTTTTGATTGTGTTGAGTTCATTTAGGTGTTGTGCCACCGATGCCCCTTCCGTCATCCGCAAATTGAATAATCGCCTCATCAAATGAACTTTGTTTGAGGCCGATGGCTTCTCATACATACTGGAGAGAGCCGCCATAAGACCCGCCGTGGTCTTTTCCTTTGCTATGTTGAAAGCAACATTGCGGGATAACGTCAGTCGGATAACTCTGAGGGCTTGTCTGTCGAGAAGAGTCCAGTCTTCATTCTTCATGCCCTCTGGTTGTTTTCCTGAGAGGGGTTGATATAGATTTTTTTGGTATAGAAAATCTTCAATTTGCATCTTCCAAAATCCAAAGTCCGCACCATCGAACTTTTCAATTTTCACCTTCCCTTCGTCTGCAGCCATCGCTCCCACTCGAATCTAGCTTCTTTGAATCGTTTTTGACAATTTCTGTGAACCGCCGTGTATTTGAACACCTTCGTCGACAAATTCGTATCGCCGAAAAAATTTCACTATTCACGAAAATTCACTATTCACGTGAATAGTAACCTCGCAGAAAAAATTGGCAAAATTCACAACCAAAAGCTCATGATACCAGTTGTCAGGAAATAAACCGAGTACAAGTAATTTCCCTATAACCAAATTAGTGAGAATGCGAAATAAAAGCGGAAAAATAATACCCGAAATTGATAACGGAGTTCAGCCAATTTTGCTTACGTCTCCAGACTGCTGCAGATCTTTTACTAAGAGAGAAATTTTACAGGTGTTTACAAAACACTCACTACTCACAAGAAAGCTCTCTAGTATTGGGAGAAAGAAATGATTTTTGGGATGATTTTCAAGCTAAATGAGCTAGGATATTTATAGTTGAAACTTAGGGACCAATCTTATAAATACCCTAAAGTTCAATGACTCAATTTTATAATTATTCCTATTACAAAATAATTAAAAAAAATTAGCATCCCATGTTTTTAATTCAAGCAGCCACCGGCTGCTAGCTTTCTTTGACCAACTGGTCGTGATCCCTGGTCATGATTTGATGAGCTACTTCAGCGACCCTGGAAACTTGTGCTTGTTTTTGCAGCTGGAGCTCGATGATGCAATCAGGAGACTCCACCGTGTCGTCGGGAATGCGGTGGTTGACGATGACCGTTACGTCGGCGGCGGCACTGGCTCGACTCAGCTCTTCCAGGCGGTGCTTTTCGCCCTCTCTTCCCCCACAATCCTGACGCTGAGCCCCTCAGTGTCGTCGCCGCTGCCCCTTTCTACTCTGTAATCCTCTTGATACAACATTACATCGACTTTTGACTTATTTTTTCTTTCTTTCTTTCTTTTCATTTTTATAACTCGCTTGAGTCAAATCAATGTATCCCACATCGTGCTGGATTCATTTATCGTTTTCATCGAGGATGGTTCAGAAACCACATCGGGAAACGATTATACTATGGGGTTGTCTCGAATGTTTACTGTGGGAGGAAATGGGACAGAGAAACAAACATGTTTTCTTAAAAACGTAATATCTCGTTTTTCCAAACATATGCATGCAGCCATTGCTTTTGGATCTTAGAGAAAAAACATGGTAACATGGGCATGTCTAGTTTCTTAAACCACGTGATGAGTCAACCCCCTGATTCTCCACTGTCTGGTTCCAAATTTGATGTAAAAAAAAACCATTCTTAACAATATTTTTAGCAGTTTTTGCTCATTTGCACCTGTATTTTGATCATTTATGTTATTGAATTCGCAGTCGTATCCGGAGGAGACGGAGTTTCTTCATTCGGGGTTGTACAATTGGGCAGGAGATGCGTACTCGTTCGATAAAGATGGAGCTTACGTTGAGTTGGTGACTTCTCCGAACAACCCCGATGGAATGATTCGAGAAGCAGTGGTGAATCGTGAAGGTGGTAAACTGATTCATGAATTAGCCTACTATTGGCCCCAATACACCCCCATTACTGGTAAGGCTGATAATGATATTATGCTTTTCACCTTCTCCAAAGCCACTGGACATGCTGGTTCTCGCATTGGGTAAGATTTAAGAACCTCCTTCATTGAAATATTGATCGAGAAAAATGTTTTGATCATTTAATTTATAGCCTTTTCGTTCTGCAGCTGGGCTATCTGTAAGGATAAAGAAGTGGCTGACAAGATGATTAAGTACATAGAGCTGAGTAGCATCGGGGTATCGAAGGAAGCTCAGCTTCGAGCCGCCAAGATTCTTGATGTGATCACCGAGGATTGCGCAGATTCCGGACCTGACAAAGAGGATAACTTCTTCGAATACGGCCACCGTCTCATGTCGGACCGATGGGAAAAGGTGCGGGAGGTTGTCAAACGCAATGGTGTTTTCAGTCTGCCCAAGTATACTAGAGATTTCTGCACCTTCAAGGGCAAAGACACTGATTCAAGCCCTGGTAAATGAATGATCATAAAATTCATCATTTTTGGCTTATAATAAAAACACCCATTTGATTGTTTTTCTCATTGTACAGCCTTTGCCTGGTTGAAGTCCAAGGATGGCTTGGACTGTGACAATCTCTTAAGGGAGTTCAAGATAGTCACTAGGGGCGGAACGAATTTCGGGGTTGACTCAGATTATACTCGGATTAGCATGCTGAGTCAGGACGACGAGTTTAACCTTTTCCTGGAGAGGCTCGCAGCAATCAAAGGGAGCATCAATGGCAATTATTAGTTGTGATGGGAGAGCGAAAGCCTTTGCTAATCTTTAGGTGTATAACTGTACATTCCAAGTTTTTAGACTGGTTTAAGCAGCTGGCTCTATCGCCAAGATGGTTTAGCTTGTATGTTCCTTGCTTAATATTGCAAAATATTTCTGTTAAGCAACTTTTATGGCATGAGTGTGATACATAATTGTTAGAAGGTCTTCCGCACACAACATCTTTATATTGGAGAACTTTAAAATATATTTGAATTCACGACACCAAAAGATTCCAAAATACAGAGAGAAATATTATGAGAATAGCAGACCTCGAATATCTAACATTCTTCAAAAAATTACCTTCTATTGATATGATCTCTAACGGCTCATGTAACCAACCTACTAGAACTAAATTCATCATTGTCCGACTATACTCACCTTATCAGTTAACTTATACATAATCATGCCGACTTCACGATTGACACATGCACTAAGAGTCATTATAAAATATCTAAAGATAAATACATTCAAACCACAAATTAAACTATTTAATCTCCTAAAATTAGTAAAAACCAACAATTTTAATTGATTACCAATTATTCAAAAAGCTAAAAGAAAAATATATTGCCACATTTCAAAAATTATTTTTTAGTATAAATTATTTATATAGATAGTTTGAGTTCACTTTAATCCATCAAAATCGACTCAATTTACAAAGCATTATAAAAGGCCACTATTTGAGGTTAACAACTATAATTTTTTCAATAAATATGCATGTTATATAAAACTGTGTCGAATGTAGCATGTGATTAGTTTAATAATATAAATAATCAGAGTCTTTGTATATTACGAGGTATAAGTGTTCAAAATAAGTTAATTTATCACAAAATTAAAAGGTTTCAAATGGTTAAAATTTTATGATTTTAGTACGAATCAACTTATCTCGATGGTTAAAAGAATCACCTTAGAGTACTCAAAATTTTAAATTTTCTAATAATTTTAAATATAATTTTCTATGAAATGTATAAATTTTAATCCTTTGAATTTTATTAAAATTTAAATATAGATTAAAAATATTTTCCAAGTTATCTCTTGCAATAGTGATCTTTTTTTTGGTACAATAAAAGTTTAGGTCAGGGTTGACTCTCCTAGTCATGAGTCTGGACATACTTAAGACTCAATTGAGATTTACATAAAATTTTACAGGTTGCCCACCAAAAGTGACGATGGTAGGATTCAAACTTAACTTTACAAGCTCAAATTTCTAAATCTCAACTACTTTTACCAACACTCATCGGACTTGCAATAGTGATCTTGAGAATAAGTTGAGGATGTGAATAATTTTATTATATTCAAATATTTTAATTAATTGGAAGGAACCCTTTGATGAATTTGCATGGTACATGTGTTGATCTAGAAATTGTAGTAGCGATTGTGGTTTATATGGATTTTAGGTTCTACAACCATATTTTAACTTGTTTTTTGAGTTGGTAGATTCAAATTGCAATGTGGCTCGCCAAATCTCTAGTAATGTATTCAAGTGTTTAAATGAATTGTGGATTTTGTCTAAAACAACTGGTTTAATTACTCGAGCTTGATGAGGGGTGCATTGTAACGAGTAAAATTCATTTCCCGTAAAGGAGCCTCAAGCATCATATGGTTTCCCAGTGCACTGAGGTGACCCATTCAAACAATTAATCATTAACAAAAGGGGGGAAAATAATTCACAGTATTGAATTTGCAGTTCGCTAAGGGAAGGGAAAAAGTTGAAAATTCTCACACCTATTAGGTAAGAAAAAAATTATAATGCACAGAAGTATAATATGAAGCAGAAAGGATTTTTCACAACGGAACACTCTTGCATGCTCTTTCATAGGGCCTTTGTTATTAACTGGTTTTTTGTATTCTTGTGCCCCCAGTGATTCAAACTCATTTAAAAGCTCATAGGAGATGACAACTTAAAAACAATGGCTATCAAATAAGTCTTAGTTCGTACTCGCCAGCCATTGTAATGTATCGTACCCATGGAAGAGCTTGGTAACCACTTTTCTCAATGATCTTCAGATATCGAACCTGAGAAACCCCAACAGCTGGATTAGGAAAATTATCAAAAGCAACACAAGCATTAGTTGGTATTACTCGGGCAATTCCTAGATCCAAGAGTTATCTACATTGTGCTGCCAAGTGAATGAGATGGACCCGTATTCATAAAATTATACCATTAGCATGTTTATGTTTGATATGTCGGCATCATATTAAATGGCATTGCTATCTTCAATCCATTCCGCCCACCACCCTAGACACCCAGCAATCTATGTTACTTGAACATGGGTATGAATCCAACACGGGTATAGTTAGATTTTTCAAAGTTTTTCTATATATTTGAAGGTCATCCCCATATCCAACTGTCGGACACGAGTACTTCGTGAACAATGAAGACTCCAAGCAACATAGCCCACAACCTAGTCGGTGCATGATAGATCAACCAATTTGATGCTTCAATCAAAGTTCGAGGCAGGATAATTTGACCGAACAGCCTGTTATATGTTATTAGAAGTATCTTACATGTTACTTGCAAAAACAAACAGCATCGCTTAGCCATAACATAATTGTTCTAAACGGGAAACATTCTAAAGCCTAAGCTTTAATTTTAACTCGTTGCAAAATAAGCTGTATCTATCCTATAAAGAAAAGTTACCTACGGCTGCTTCAGGTGATAACTGCCTGCAGGGATTGGGTTGGAATTTATGAATTTTTAGGCCAATTGTTGGGCTATCTTTCATGTTATCTCTCAGTCAACTAAAAACCCAAATCAAAATTCAAAAATTGTTGTTTTTCATTTGTGATGTATTCAATTTCTTTTAATAATATCATGATGTTAATTTAAGATCAAGCAAATTAGTGCATGTGTTTTAAAAATAAATATTAATAATGAAAGTGAACACAAGTTATCTTCACCCCAATTCAGATAGAAACTCTAGTTATTTACTGATGAATGTGAAAGGAAGAGAAAAGGGGGGGGGCAATGGAAAAATATATATATTTTTGTAACCCTTTGAGCATGAGGAAGAACAAATTGACAAAAAGAACAAAAAAACAGTTGCATTTGGTGTAACCAAATAAAAGTAAAGGATATGAAGGCATACCTGTATCCCGGAAACAGTAAAATATGGAATCTCAAACTTCACACGAATAGGAGTTTTTCTCTCTTGAGTTGCCTCTTCATCTGTTATGCTAGGAAGAGTAAACTCGGCCCTCAACATATACTCCTAATGTTAAGAATTTCAAAATAATTAGTATCATGGCAGCAGAGTTTTTCTTTCTTTTTTTAAAAAAGTTCGGAGTTGGCAGATGATACCTTCCCACCAGGAAAAGATCTTATTTTCCACATTAAAGCATCATTTTCGGGTGCATATGCAGCAGATCCCATTGATGTCCGGACATTTGGACTGGAAGCATCAGCAGGCACAGGCACCATAATCTCAACATTTGTAGCAGTACTGTAAAGAATAATTATCTTCATGAGATCTTAGTAATCTAACAATAAGCAAGCCACCTGGAAATCAGTGAAATATTCTGGCATAAGGATAAAAAACCCAATACCTACGCTCCTTGAACTGAGACCTGGCCTTTACCATAATCTCAACACGGCTTCTTGAATGTTTTTCAGCTTGAGCTTCCACCCAGATGAGTGGTTTTACCTAAAAGCAGCAACAATAGTCATAATCAGTACTCTGATAGAAAGATAAGAAAAACAGAAAAAAGATGAGAGGAAGAAGGAAATGGAAGAAAGAAAGAATGGGGAGTGAAAATTCAAAAGAAAAACGGTTCACCTGAGTGCTAAGTCTGTATGTCATAAGATCAAAGGAACCATCAGGAGGTATGAAGGATATAGTCCGGTCATTCTCAAAACGGGCCAGACGTACACACCTTGATCAAAGCATTAAGCATAGGGAAATTTGCAACATCAGACTTCAGTATCAGTTACACCCAACGCTCAAGAAAGCATATTATAAAAACTGAAGTACAACTAGAAAAGAGAGTCAGGGTATATACTGATGAAACTTTATGTCCTCCAAATCAATCGCCTTTCCCTTTGTTGCTCGTCCTTGTGCCTCAAGCAATACTCTATCATTTAGGCCAAGCTTACACTCGGGCATACCACTGAAAAGATAATTGAACCCAAATCAATACATGGGCAGCCTAGAACAAAACTTCCAAAATGAAAGGATACATTGCTATGTCATAATATCATGAAAAAAAATATTTGTTTAGACAATGTGTGCATGAAGGTTTGAGTTGCCTACTATCTCATAGCATAGATAGAACATGCATGCATGAACAAGCCAAATTTTCATAGCTTCCAGCATAACTAGCATGAATGGCATGGCAACCAGAAGTTTCAAATGAATGGGTTATCAACAAGGGTGCAAAATAGAGATGAAGAGACACCAATTCCCAATTCTAAATTGATAATGCTTTATCAGATTGCATGAAGTGCACTGAAATTGAGGTCTCATCATATCAGGTATCTACCACTTCAATCAGAATCACCTTTCCCCCCAAGAAATTCAAAATGCTAAACTTTTATTTGTAACTTGCAGACCAGACAGTATAAGTACGGATTCTCTCTAGAATGCTATATTTTTTTAAATATATATTTTGCAACACAGACACTGTTTTATAATTCCACTTTAAATATAATCAACAAAAAAAATCAATTACACACTATGAGTAAAGATAGAGTTCTGTATAGAACTAAAGCATAACGGGCCATTTATCTTGAAACAAACAGAAAACACACCTCAAATAAGTTCTCATCTTTAATGCCCCAACAACATCTGACCTAATTATTTGTCCATTGCTGTTGACAAGTATATTCACACTTTCTACCACATCCAAAAACACCTGAAATGAAAGAAAAAAAAATCTTCATAAGCCAGTGTCTTAATACATTAATAAATAAATCAAAAGAATAACTATAAAAAAGCCACCGACTTCATTCTTCTTGTAGTTTATTCCTTCACTACGCCAAGAGACTGCATTGGTAACAGCCATTGGGGGTCTCTGGGTAACTTCCATCCTATAAGCATCGGTCTTGATAAACTCACTAAGTATTTTCGCTTCAGTGTATTGAGGGTAGCCAAAATCCATAATCTCGTCAAGTAACTCATACTGGCAGAGGCATGAAAAAGAGCCAATTATAAACTCTTCAACTAAAATTATAAACCAAAACTGTCTAACAAAAGCAAGAAAAATGTGTTTGATCTTCACATACCACTACAACAAAGTTATCCCTAAGAGATTCCTCTTCTAACTCCTCGAAATAATGCTTGAAAACCTGAAACGTTAATACCAATACAGAGAATGGATACCAAATGCTTTATTAGGAAACATACATGCACGCAACTCAATCGAAAATTTGAAAAACATAAAAGGCATAAAACTACAATTACAAAATTGGCTTACATCGACTACACGGTGCAGGAAAAAAAGAAGACTGGCGGCATTGCAATTCTGCCTTGTTGCGATCATCAAGTACACATTACTGTGCTGTATAAACATGTACGTTACTCCATTATCATACACCACTGGATCTTGCGACTGCGGATCTCCCTGTGAACCAAATCCAAAGGACCGAATTCAATAACACGTTAACCAATTAGAGCACCACCAATCTGAAAACTGATTCGAAGTATAAATAAGCTAAATTCAAACTTAAAAAGAAAATACAGCAATAAACAGAAGAAACATATTTATTCTAATCGGAAATTAAATGTTTCGAAATCCTGAAATTACAAAAAGAAAGAAACCTCTTTCTCGATGAGTTTGGTGAAGAACCGTTCAGCTTGAGCGGCGGAGACGTCGCCACGGTAGTCACGCCACACCAGAACGCGGCCCTTAATATCAAGAAGAAACAGTGCAGATGCGGCCCCCGCCATTTCTTCTTTGGTTTTATATATTTAATCCCTGCGAAATCCCTAGTAATTTTGCAGATCGGATGGGTGCGGTTCACGGTTTGATTGAGATCTTATATGAATCAAACGAGAGAGGGGAGATCTAAATGAAGGGAGAGAAAAGTCGAGCCAGCTTGTTGAAGCTGAACCATATTTTGTGAATGTTCGTTACAAGATCTGCCCACACTCATTTTCTTCTTTCTATTTCAGATTTTAAATGGTAAGAACAATGGGCTTCAACCATCATCTTCCCATACCTTTTATTTATTTATTTATTTTTTGGATGCCAAATGTATAAGACAACTTCAGGCATTAAACGACGCCGCTTTACTTCGTTACTCAAGCGCCACTGTTACGAATTTGTTTTTAGTTTGGGTCAAATACGAAAATAGTCTCAATGGTCATATAACACTTTTTTTAGTATTTCAATTATAAAAGTTTATAAAATTGTCACTTAATTTATAAAATAATGTTGATCATTTTTCGCTAAAAAGTTAATAAGAATAGTATTACATTTAATAAAATTAACATGATAATAAATTTAGTCCTCAACTTTTTTACTTTATTTTAATTTGATTATAATTATAAAAAAATAACTTGACAATTTTGGCACATAAAAGAAATATCCAATCTTTAAACTTTACAATTTTTTTTTATAAATGATATGACATTTTAAAATTATATATTGTAACATAATATCAAAATCACATCATTAAATTAATTTTAAAATTTGCAAGTTATAGGACTAATGTGAAAAGAAATATCGAATTAAAAATTTAGAATTGCTTTATCCCTAAATGTACACTAAATTCCTTAGAATTGCTTTTTTTCCAATTAGAGACACAAATCAGAAAATTACACAATTTTCTTCTTGACTAAAATCAAATTTTCTTTCCCAACATTTTTTTTTCTCTTTCAAAGGAAAAGCTTGTATGAAACAATAACAAACGGCCAGTTGTCTTTTCATTTGCAGCTATGTATGTTTAATATAAAATAGCTGAGAAATGAGTGAAATGGAGGTTGTCTATTTTTCATCTTCCATTGTGAATCCCACTGAAAACTTGGCTATTCCCTCCCAGCGACGCATCCCACTCCACCGACGACATCACAATCTGGGAAAGTGCTAAAACAACATCTCTCATTTCTGGTCTGTTCACTGCCTCATCGCTCATGCACCACATCGCCAGTTCTGTCATCTGCAAAATCACCAGCTATATATGTTATTTTCATGTTATATTGAAAGAAGATATGGGTTGGATGTATGTATGTATGTATACCTTGTATACATCTTCCATGGGATAGCTTCCTCTAAAACTTCCATCTATCACTTCTTCTAAAGCTTTTTCCGGGTTTTCGTCTTCGAAAATATTATTTACCTTAGCACAATGAAAGGAATTAGAGAACATGTTTGAGTGAATGAACAGGTTTCAATCTTAAATTTCTCTGTTACTGTATCGAAATCAATTTACTTACAACTGTTATCAATGATCTCATTTTGTTCGGCTCTTTATTGTCGCGAACCAGAGCACGTTGGCCTGTTATTAGCTCCGCCAGCACCACCCCGAACGCGAACACATCGGATTTTGGTGTCACTTGTAAGTCCATCACCGATCTTTCCACCATAAGCATATAAACAGCGAAAAAAATAGCTCAGTCTGGGAACAGATTTTGTAAGAAAACAGAACATTTCATTAGTGATTTATATGGAAAGCTAAAAACTTACTCAGGGGGCAAGTAACCTGGAGTTCCGACCAATCGTGTTGCTATTAGATCTTCTTCGTTTGTTCTCTCAACAAGCTTTGCTAATCCGAAGTCTCCAACCTAATCGAATGAAATGCATTACTTTCATTGTCTCGTGAAGATTATAGCAGCAAATATAATACAAAGGAGTTCATTTTAGTACCTTCGCTCGTAGACCCTTATCAAGCAGTATGTTACTGGTCTTGATATCCCTATGCACATACCGCGCTTTCGTGTGGTCGTGAATGTATTCGATGCCTTTCGCAGCATCGAGTGCGATTTGCGTTCTTGCTATCCAAGAGAGTGGCTGGTGACCTTTCAACAACGGATCATGGAGATGATCATTGAGTGATCCATTCTGGACATACTCATAAACCAAGTAGAGATGATCATCTCCACTAGCAAATCCCAAGAGCTCAACCTGTAAGTAAGTAGAACACGTGATGACTCATGTTCTGAGACAAATTAAACAAGAGTTAATGGTCGGTAACTCGGCAAACTTACCACATTTATGTGATGGACCTTGCATAAGACCTTGAGTTCAGCGAAGAACTCTTTCGATTTGTTCGATTTCATCTTCTTTATCGCAACCTCCTGGTAGTGCAGAAAGATTAAGTCTTTTCCATTTAAGTAGAAAAATCAACAACAAAACGAAAGCTTGGTACCTTTGACCCTAGTATTCCATGGTACACATAACCATATCCCCCACTTCCAATTTTCTTCCTTTCATCAAAATTATCTGTAGCTTCTTCAATCTCCTCCAGGCTATATATCATTGGTATTTCTGATTCAAAAGCTGTTACATCTGCAACAAGAAAATGCAGTACAGATGATTTAATTGCTTCTTCCCTACTCTATTCATCTATAGTCCTTACCTTCCATGTTTTTGGTGTAGGGAAACTGGGTTTGCAATGAAAATGTTCTGCCACTCATCATGCTTTTGGATAATGGCTTTGGATCCTCCACGCTCATTTTTTTTCCTTTTCTTCTTCGTATGAGAAAGATGAGCAATGCAATCGTCGAAAAAAATGCAACTACCGATAATACGACGATAAGGATTGTCCATTTACTTCCTCCTCCTCCTCCCCCTGATAATTAACGGCAAAAACAAGGAATACCATGATTAAATCAGTACAAAACAGTGAACATTTTTATCTGCTAAAATATTGTTTTGAAATGAAAAAAGAGCATGATCCTGAATTGAAACACTACTCAGTACTCACTTTTCCTTGGCGCTGGAATTCTGTCATTGTCCATAGGCACGTATAGGACCGAACCGGAAATTATAAAATCAGGGTTTTGAGTCAGATTGCTGTTCAATCTTTCTATGTCTTTTATGTTAGTCCATAGCTGAGCCGCAATACTTGTCAAAGAATCGCCCTGCTGAACTGTGTATGTGACTATGGTTTTTGACTGACTCTCCATGCATCCGCATATCAGATTCATTGGTACTTTGTTCCCTGGATTGAAACTACTCGCTTCATCACCAACTTCGAGAGCTTGTCCGCTGTAAATACTTGTCGAAACATCCTGAAACGTGTCGTGTTCTTTCACCGTGTAGGAAACATCGTAGAAGTATGCTATGGTGTCGTTACCGATGTCCTCACAAGAACAGGTGACTGGTATAAGGTAATTTTGGTTTTTTCCGTGGGAAATGGGGCGGAAAGTTGAAGGATCAACGGAGTAAAAAGAGGCAATCTGGTCGTCGTTTAGACCGGCATTGATGTGGTATAACATGGCATCACATTTCTTGATTTGTTGTGATGAGCAATTAAAAGGGAAGATAACATCGGCTTTACAGATTCTAGCAAGTAGAGCTGCCAATAAAGGGAGCGTAAGGCAAACAAGGAGATGGTGTGAAAGTGAAACCATGGTTATGAGCATGGGAAACTCGATTTTTCGCAATGAAAGAGTGAAAGAACATTAGATGAAATCATGATGGAAACGAGGGTCTTTGTTTTAGTTTCTGTTTGCACATGTTTGCTGGCTTACTGGGGTATTTTTCAGTGCTTCCAAGTGGAACCCCCCCTCCCCCACCAAGTTTAGTATAATAAGAAAAAGGGGGTTTAAGATTCTTTGGAGATGACAAAACAAACAATTTGCAAACCCTCAGTTTGGAATATTACCATGGGTTTATCTTTTAGTGGACACTCGTCGATGCTTACAATACGAAGTTCTTTTGCTTATTACTTCTGGGCAGGGATAATATGTATTTTTCAAATTCTAATTTATATTTTTTTTATAATTTTAATAGATAATATATTTTTAATCCTAAAATTTTATAAATTCATCATTCCTAATATAAAATATTACATTCGTTTCTGCTTCCTGACTCTAACCATGATTCATATGTAACATTATTAGTTATAAAGCAAGAAAATGCCATAGAGAAGCCAACTCATTCTCGTGGATTAAATATATTGCACGCTGTAATATGTATGGCATTCGTTCGTGCAATGCGAGTTTTAGATTTTTATAAAACAAGGGCTGCATACCATGAGGTTTATACTTATGTTAGTATTACTATTATTTTACAGGACGTTGACTCTTTTTAACCAAAGCCAAGAGAAACTGAGTTGTAGTACCTTGGTTAACTCGCCTTCCATACACATGCCTGTCTCCTGGTTTGTAACAGAATAATTTTCTGTCGATTGAGTGTTCCCAGTTTTTCGATTTAATAGTTTGAAAGTAGGTCAAATACTGTGTAATTAATGAATTAGCAGCTATGGTGCTTGGATAATGCAGACATTCCAACAATTAATTATTATTTTTAAATAAAAGTATATTCATGTCCAGTAAAATTATAGTAATACTAGACTAACAGGCACTCAGGCTGGAAGTTCTAAGCTGAAATCCTATCTAGTAAAGAAAACTTTTTAGTCTTTTTACACTTTTTACTCTGGTTTTAAATTTTACGGGCAGTTCTAGTGCCCCCACTTTCATGCTCCATCGGGCTTTGATAAACTCTACAGTCTACAGCAATTTGCTTGCAATCCTATCTTGCTAACTATATCCAGCACAAGGAGAACGAAAGCACCATTATTAAATCAGATTACTGAGAATTTAACAACTACTTGACATGATTAAACCATGTATAGTTCTATATGTGGACTTTTATGAATCTGTTTCTGAACTAATCAGTAGCCTTCGTTTGCTAGCTATATAAAAATTAACAGGGAGGAAAAACTCACCATTGGTCAAACAAAAGTTACTTCACAACTTATACGATCATGGCGTATTCCGTCGTGTATATATTTACTATTTAGGTGTTATCTATTCTATTCACGCTGCCGGCCAAAAGATGCCGTAATTTCGACTCAAACTGTCAGATCTTCTGACAAGTGGCAAGGTTTGGAATCTGTTAAGGATCTACGTCACAATTTACTGAAGAATTGGCGTTTCAGCTGGGCTTTTCCTCAGCAATATCCTAAACAGAATCCATTTGGCATTTCAATGACTTTTGGTTTTAAGGGGGCTTAGAAC